ACAGAATATTTAGAAATAATTCAGCAATATAAGATGTAAGCAAACAAATGAAAATGTAAAAATCAATCTAAATTAATTATAATAGCTAATACGCTATTCATAGAAAATTATATTTTAAAAGGAGATAAAATATAATTAATTTAATGAATGTGTTATGAAACGAATAGAACAGAAAATTAGATAAAAATATATTATATAAACTAAAATGAAAATAATATTTAGCTTTAAATAAAAACTGCAATGAAAAATTGAGCAATTGAAATAAAAAAAAAAAACAGATAATTTTCAAAATAGATATAAGAACTTACATAATAAAAGACGAAGATAAATAATTCTTGAAGAAACCCAAAAAATTATTTATACTCGTATCATTTTATTTTAAATTAACAACAAAAACTTGTATATATATTGTTTTACATAAAAATAAGAAGTATAAAAGTAGATATAAAAGCTTAATAAGAAATGTTTAATTGTTTTATGTATCATATTCGTTTTTACATTAAAAACGGGAAAATTGATTAGCTAACGATCAGCTTAAATATTAAGATAGTATAAGGTAAGTACTGTAATAAGGATTCATTATGAATTCATCAGCATTAATTATTATTAATAAATAATTTAAGAACTATTTTAAAATTCTAATGTGGCAATATATATTAGGTATATTAATGATATTACTGTATCTAAAATGAAGGGTGCGTCAAGATTATGTACATTCTACTTAGGTACCAAAATTTAGTGTAACGTTGCTGTTGTTCACAATCGTGAAAATTTAAAAAACAACCTATTTTAAGAAATTATTACTTATCTTTTTTTAATAATTTCATTAACTTATTGTAACTATTATTTCCAGTCACCAGTACTACTTCTACTACTAAACTTTCCGGGAACTAATTACCAAGGTTTTGATTTATAAATTGTACTTAAATTTATTATACTTTATATAGAGGTGTATATACTATATATTACATATTAATTGATTTAACTATTGGTTTTATTTTAATGGTTTTAAACTTTTAAATTGTAATTTTTATTAGAGTTATTAGAATTATATTATTATTACTATTATTTATGACATATTTCTGATTGAATAACACAATCAATAGAAACATACTACAATTTTTACTTAATTTCTTAATAGTTAATTTACATTTTTACTTGAAAATATTATTTTTGCTATAAATACTGAATACTAAGTATACGTTCGCATTTATTTTACGGGTCATATTGGGCGTAGAAAAATCCTATACAATCGTAATCATCGATAATAATTAATTACCTATTAAGTTATCTTCAGCTTATATAAACGAACACATTTTATATTTTTAATTCGAAAATAATTATCAACGTAGGTATTTAATCTAAATATAAATATTTAATAGTAGTTAAAATTCAAGATTTAAAGAAAGTCTGGGATTTCCTCTTTTATGGGAGATGTGTGTAATAATCCTTCATGCATTGTTATGTATATGACTAATGTAATGATATACACATTCTGATATATCATTATTTATTTAATTGCCTTTAGATTTAAGAAAATAAATAGTACATATCTTTGCAGCTGTATAAACACAAATTAACAAAAAAATAGAACATTATTTATTATATTACCTTTAGATTTGAGAAAATAAATAGTACAATATCTATTTGCAGCTATATAAACACAAATTATTTAGTACATATTAAAATGATAATGACACACTACACTACACACAAAATGAATAACACGAATAAGTAATGTCGAAATCTGCAAATTTGATTACGGTCAAAGGCCAAAGGCGGAATATCTAGGCTTACCATTCTTCCCGGTTTTAACAGCATGTTTCGGTGTCCCGGCCGATTATTAATTTTCATTAATTTTGTCCCAGCTAATGGGAGTTAATATTGTACATAATATCATTATATCATTATCGTATTATGATATTTAATTAATATTATCGAAATGTTTTCCTTTTTTTTTAAAAAAAGCTTCAGAAATTTTAAACTTGAGATAAAAAAAAAAAAATTAATTATTACATTTGCTTAGGGAAATATTTAGTGAAGCGTTTGAATGGAAAACGTCCAGTAATTCGAAAGATCGCGAAGGAGGAAACATTCAAATTCCAACATGTATATTCTGTTTCAAATAAGATAATTTGCGTTGGCGCATGATGGGAATAGGTAGCTAACGAGCCGCACGCTAATACATCGGTTAGGCAGTACTTAATCGCGGGTGGCGTATTATTCTTTTAACAACCGTTAAACTATTACTTTTATACTTTGAAAGTGATAAAAAGAACGGAGCAGCAACTTTGCTTAAATATTTGTGTATTAGCTGGTGATAGGAGTTTATTGTGTATGTACAGCAATGAATATTATAATGGACTACAGAGAACCGTACTTACGAAGCACGGGTGAAGAAATAGGGCATTAGGTACACTTCACGTGTTATAAAAGCTAATGGTTTGTGGAATATTCATGACGACTTAATCAAAAAAGTATAAACATATAAAAACACAGAAAAAATGCAAGTACAAACACATATTTTATTTCATGTAAAAAAGTAAAAGATATTTAAATTGTATAAATAAAATTGTTTACATTTGATAAACTAATGATAATAATTTAAATATTTAAATAAAGGAAGTATCACGATATTTTGTTGTTTAGTAATATGTTAGAGGAAGGTAAATATGTTTGGATTAAAGTAAAAATTTCAATATTTAAAGGTTCGATGACAACATCTATTTAAATTTTATTGTTGATAACCCATGCTATAGGCTCTAAAAATTAGGAACAAGTGTTAAGTACTGGTGCTAAATGTTTTTCAAGATTCAAGAACTATTACAGAATAGTAGAAAGTTCTGAATTTTAGATTTCTCATGCGTTATGAAAAAAACAATAATCTTGAAAATACAACATTTTAATACTCATATCGAGGTATTTGGTAAGAGTGTCAATGTTGGAAAATGTTCTATTTGCCGAAATCCCGGAAAATCCAAGAGGTAGCAAACACTAAAAAAACATAGTAAAATGTTGATATCAATTTCAAATTGTTTGGAGTAAGTGTCAAGATAGCACTAGCATGTTTATTTCCGGCCTGTATCATAAACAAGCTATTAGCAAATTCTGGAAATTGCATAGCAAAACGTAGCAAATTCGTAGTAAAATATTGATGTATAGTTTGAGCCGTTGAGGTTGTAACATAAAATGCTAGTGCCAACTTGAGTCTTGACGAACATCATGTGGCTAGTTGGCTCGTGGATCCAGAACATTAAGTAATATTATAGTACTATTACTCAATAAATCCAGAACCAGAATCATTTTCTTCCAAAATTCAAAACATAGATGATTGACATATCTATTTTCAGATTTAAAATATTGAAGATCTTGAACAGTTATTACCTTATAAATAGTTTTACTTACAAAACAAAGTCAAATGCATTTACCAATATTAAGTTAAACTGATGGCATATACAGCTTTAAATAATCTATTGATTATCATCATTTGATGAAAAACATTGGAAAACATCTTGGTCCAGAAAGACAAAAGCTTGTTTTATCAAATAAAATTTGAAAATATGTTGTCTCTAGCTAGAAGATTTACGAGCAAGGAATGGATTATTAAGGAAGGAATTCTTCCAATTATAAAACAGAAGATGTAGTAATACAATAACTTAAATAATTGTTAATTTTAAATTTTTTTTATTTTAAACAGCCTTATCTAGATGAAAAAACTTAATTGCTTAATACACACTTTTTGTATCTAATCATAAAGATTAGGTAGGTATATTTGTGGGGCGCGTATTTGCATTTTTAAATAATTTAAAAATCAAAAATTGATTCACTACGGAATCGTATTGGAAAGAATAATAGTTATGAAATTCAAGCGCAGCGATAAGTTTTTTCAAGTTGGTACTTGTTGAGTTGGAGTTGTCAATTTTACAAATAATCGCTTAATGTCCTATTTCGACCCTGACCAGTGACTACAAGTCCCTGACAGGCGTCAATTAACATTTAAACAAACACGTATTGTGGGCATCGTCCAAAATTAAAAAGTCAAAATGAGTGCGTTCGATTCGTCACTGTTATTTAGCAGCATTTTAGCGGACGGACGTCGCAGGTCGCGCGTCAAAAAAATTGCAGAATATTGACCGTCGTCTATGACGTTGTCGGCGGGTCATCCGCTCGAACGGTTTTATTATTGTCCAACGACGATTGGGTGTAAATCTGTAATATTATCGTCAGAAAATAACGAGGCGTACGACAAATATAATATTATATTATCGTCGTCGTCGTCGTGTTGTGCGCGTTCGTGTGTCGATCAGCTGGTTCTTCGTTAACGAGTGGCCTGGCCAATGTGGACAGTGACTACGCTAAAGTGGGTTAAATTGCATTGGACATTTCTCGCTTCCAATTCGCGGTAATACAACAACAACAACAACAACAATAATAATAATAATAATAATAATAATAATAATAATAATAATATCGTTATCGTACACGAGTCGTGACCCGTTACCATAAATATCTACGATATGACGTATAGGAGGTACATTCGTGCCCGTTACTAATAGACGTGATCGTTCGAACCCGTTATCGTATTTCGCATTTCGCAGTTTCGATTCGCATACGACCTAAAAGTCAAAACTCGTCGGTCAGCTCGTCCAGCCCGACGGATTTTCATTGGTATTGAACCGAAATAATTATTTACAACGCAAAACGCTGTCATCTCAAAACCGTCCTTATCACACGCCCGTCACAACAACTACAACAACAACGTACAATATCCCGGTCCCTTTCAATCGTCCCAGATTAGTTGGCGATAATAGCGATAACAACGGTAATAACGATAACAACGATAATAACGATGATAATAATAACGATAATAAGTAATAACAAACACAATCTCGTTTGGTAGTCGATATCCGAATTCCGAGTTGCCGTCGATTGTTACGTGTGCGGCGGAGTGATGTTCATTCGAGCAAGATTCAATAAAAATTACGTTTGAAAATGATCGAATGCCGTTCTGTCGGCTCCGAGTCAACGCTTCGCTGCAGCCGTCGTCTCGTCGTCGGACGAACCGCTCGTGGGAGGAATCGTGAGGCGTCCGCAATCCACGATCCTTAAATGCATCGTTGTTTGCGACTTCACTGTACAGCCTGACCTTTCGAAGTGCATTGTTTTTACTACTATCCGTAAGTAAAGCTATACGACCAATTCATATGTTCCTAACCGATTCTCAATGAAATGCTGTGAACGCTTAATGTTAATTGCTTGTTTTATAATAATTTAACTTCATAACATGTAAACAAAACTTCGAAGTACATTTTCTGCTTAAAAATGTAATACAAAAAAAAAAGATAAAACACAATATTCCTCTCGAGTTAAAGACAACCATTAAAATTTACAATTGTAATCAATATGACTGCACAAACTCATTCATTTTTCAATCATAAATTTAAATCGATACTTATATACCTTAAAGATTAAACAATTATTAATATTTCATAGTACCTTTGTAATTTTGATCTTTTAATAATATAATATTCATAATAATTATCGTGTAATAATGGTTTAAATAGGATAAAATGTTTGTTAAATCACTATTATATATGTTATGCAATTTTTTTTTTTTATATGATGCTACTCTATTACTATGGTAAACTGATAGTTTGAACATTTCTCAAGATCATAGAATCCGCATTTCTGAAAACAATACTTAGTTAATTATTATACATTGTTAAATTATCTTCTTTTTTTTTGACAATTAAATAGAATTGTAGAATTGTAAAATATGCAAAGTATTGAATTCACAGTTACTAAATAATATTTGTTACACTTGCTACATACAAACAAAACCTTTTATCAAAAAAATACCATACTTACATATATTGTTTCTATCTGACATACCTACGTACAGAGTATGAAGTATACAATTTACATTTAACAAAATTAATGTTGTGTTATTAGTTTTAATATTAAAATAAAAATAACTTATTATTGAACTTACTATTAATATATTATCTAAGACATTTCATATGCTTATATTAATATTTTAATTATATTCAAGAAATAGCAGTGTAAAATATCAGAAATTTTAAATGTTTATAAATTTTTTCAAATAGACTCAAAAATTAATACACGAATAAAAACCAGGAAGATAATATTTTTACATTTAAATTTGATGATAATTCAGTCTTAATACTTAAATACAAAATATTATTGTTAATGAAAGCAAATTTAATATGGTTAGATTTTTTTTACTATGGCTCGGGTTAAACTGATGACCTGAGTAAATTTCAGTGAGCCACTTTAAACCTTGAACAGTAGAAGGAGTTTTCATTATAAAAGCACCTAAGTAGTGTGTTGTATATTTTAAATGTGTAAATGTTATAGTGTAGAAAGATAACTTATGGTGAAAAATGAAAATATTTAATATTATCAATTACATGATGATCCTAAAATTAAATTTGTATTAAATGTTTATATAGTCGTTTTTAACCAAATATTAATCAATCAGAATCTAAAAAGCACAAAATGTATTTTATCATTGATAATTTGAAGCGATTTTGATTTTTCTGCTCCTCTGAGTATTATTAAGTGAATAATTACAACCCCATGTCATCCTTAAATATACCTACAACAAAAAATCAATAACATACATGGAATGATTTAATACTCAAATTTCCGGATTTCACAATAATTAGATATCAGTTATTAGGTATTTATCATCATGAAATTCAGCAACCTTTGAATTTAAGTTTTTTTTTATATTTGTATTAACTTGTGTATAGTTTGAAAAAACTATTTTCCTATTTTTCATGATCTTTTTTTTCGGTGAAAGATATTTATAAAAAAGTGTTTTGTTTTATTATCTTGATTAAATATATTAATTACTAATATTTTATTGAAATATCCTCATAATTTCAACGGAATCTATTGATATATTATATATTAATGTAGGAATGAATTTAGACTTACAGTGTATGGTTACAAAATTGTCATCATCACTCAAAAGTCAGACCTAATGATTGGTGTATAATGTATTTTTTTTAATGTAGTTCAAGAAATTATGTGTCATATTCAAAGTAATTCCCTGTCAAGAAATGTTTACAGTTTTAAACCAACGAATAAAAAAAGAGCACTAATACCTACTTAGTTTGAGAAGTCAGTATCGTATCTGCTTTGGATGAAATTATAATTTTTTCCTTCTCGTATAATACAAATTTCCTCCTGTGGAAAATAATAAATTAACTAAGAGTACTGAAAAAACTGAATAGCATTGCTAATTTGTAAATTTTCCCAATACCGAGTAATAAATTAGTTTTAAATTCTGAGCGATCAATTATTGTCAAATAACATAAACGTATGTGATTATCACGCTTTCATCTCATCCAGATCGTATAATCTAATAAGCTATTTTTTTTATATACTCGTGGTAGTATTTAGTTAACGATTAACGAATTTTTCGGTTGGAAAATGTTTGTTTTGCCGAATTTCTGAAATTTGCGTTTGAACATTTAACTGTTCACGAAGAATCCGAGCTTAATAGAATGTCTATGATTGGTTATTAGTTCCGAGCATCGATTCCACAGCAGAGGTTTTCAACAAAATAAATATCGTCTGATTCGTTCGACCGTACAAAATCTGGAATTCTCGGGATTTTCCTTGTTATTTTTGGGCGGACGTCCCAACAACAATTGTGATTCACTGTACCGTCCCGAAAAGTGTTGTCAAGTTTACAACACTGCGCCGCATTTTAACGCGGCAATTGTGGTAACGTCACGACTGTATTGACGATGTGTTGTGTAAATCTTGGATGAGGCCATGAATTCGAATCAATACTGAGTGCTGATCATTTTGAGTACAGACTTCGCGTGCGACTGACGCACCCTGTTTGATTTGTTTCGTCCCGACATCCTGTTCATTGTTCACTGTTCAGTTCTGGAATTGGTATTTGTCTTTACGTCAACACGTCCCAAACGTTGAGGTATCGTTACACAAGTGAGTTATTCATATTTTATATTTTACACATTCCGATATTTGACGTAAATTTTCTGGCAATTAGTTTGTAATCCGACGGCGAAGATCTCGGGAAACTTTGTGTTTGATCAAAACACGTGGTTTTTGTTCCGACCACAGTAACCTCGATCGCTTCCATTTCCGAAGTTTCAAACATATCGATCCACTGTGAACGCAACTTCGGCTGGCATTTAACAAGTTAATTACACTTTATACCGACATAATAATATAATAGCGAAAATTCAATTATAGTTAAATACATCTAATAAATCTAATATAATATATCTAATTATTATACACCCCAAAATGGTTGTTCCGACGCTAACCCTGCCTAACGTATTACCTATGTATACGCGTAATTTAATTTATTGGAATCAACACAGACTTTGTTCTCACTTATTAAATATTAATTATCTACAATAGGAATTCTATTTACATAATTAAAAACAGGTATACTATAAAATAGTTTTTTTTTTAAAAATAAGATCGATAGATTAATTACATTTTGTAATCCAATTGAAGCTAAAAACATTTTCAATTTAATAATAGATTATGGTTGAATTCAAGTATAAGTATAATAAGCATTAAATAATAAATATTGGGTTTTCATAAAGTATCACTACTATGAATTCTTTGCAAATGAATTATTTGAGCATTGATTTCAAAACTAAATTATTACAATTTTTTTTTTAATTGAGTGTTCCATGTATCATTTTTATGAAATTACATTAAATATTATCTCCCAAGGATATAATTATATGTTAAATTTATTCAGCTTCTATAATAATATTTTCTTTTATTTATTAATTATTATTGTTATTGAAAAAAATATTGACATACTTCTACAAATATATCTTTAATTTATATGTAATATATTAATAAACATCAAATTAAATTTTTATAAGTAAATACTTGTAATTTAAATGATTACGTTAAACTTTTTTAATAGAGTTGTATAATAGTTTTCTTTTTTTTTTTTAATTTTAATTTATGTAGATTTTGCATTTTTAATTATAATTTATTATACTTTATGAAGTTAAGATAAAATAAATTACTTATACAAATAATGTTCTGCATTATATTATTTAAGTAATTTGGTTTCCATTTAATCTCTTAAAGTTCATTGATAAAGACAGCCACAAAAAGAATTTATAAATACCTATTATGTCAACTATCTATTTATATTAACACTAGATATCTCTACTTAATTACTTACTATTGTTTTTGGTGATTGATGTTGATAATTTGTTTGTAATTTTTTTGTTATTTATAAATTAGGAACTTGTATATTTTAATTACATATCAAATATATTTTATTTACTAATTTTTATTTTTTATTTTTAGGTTTTCATGCTAACAAACAAAGAAAATTGGTATCAAATTTATATGATCAACAAAAAATAATTTTTAAATTTATTTTTATTTTTTCAAAATACGTTACATTGATCTTATCAATGAAAAAATCTATAATTTTATCAACTTCTAAACCTAGAATATTAAGAAACGGTAAAATTGTAATTACAAAAAATAAAAATATAGTTAAAAAAAAGTCTAATTTTAAAGAAAAAATAAATGATAAATTATCTTTTATCAAAACAAGCTCAAATGAAATTAGTAATATAAATGTTAAAAATAAAAATGAATTGGTAGTAGCTTCAAATTATAACCATATATTTGAGAATCGTCATGTATATGTATTGCTTACAAAATTACCATCACCATTAGTAATTGATAGAGATTTGTTTAATGATCTAAACAATAACAATAATAAAAATTATACAAAATTAGAAGATTATATACAATCAAATGAACTTCAAATATATAATAATCTTGAACCAAAAATAGAAAAGAGTAAAATGTTAACTGCGACAAAAAAAACTAAGCAGACAGGTATGACATCAAGCTCTCTTGATAATAAAAGTATTTCAAAAACTAAATCACGCAATCATTCAATAATTAATCAAACTTCTGATGTACGAATTACACGTGGGAAGACAATCAAGCTTCAAACAGAAGAAAGAAAACAATTAGATCAAATAATGTTTAATAAATTTCCTGATAGCACATTTAAAATGTTGGCTATACAAATGTATGATATTAATAAAGAAGTTAAATTTCTACGAACACTTGGATTGATATGTCGTTTTAAATGTCCTTTGAATTGTAAAACTAAAAAAAAAACATAATTAATATTATTTATATTTTGTCTGGAGGTCACATATTTTTTTATGTTTATTTTAAGTTGTATTTCAATTAATTGTAATTTGTAAATGAAGATTTTAAAATATTAGTTTCGACATTAGAAATTAATTTAATTTAATGTAAGTAAGTTTCTGGATTGTTTTTTAAATTTAAAAACTAGTAGATTTTATTATTATTTAACCTTGTATAACTGTACATAATTATTTTTTTTTTTTATGTTTGTAGGAATTTGATATTGGTTATTAATATAATGAACTATTGTATATAAAAATTAAAATACTTGTTAATATTTACATACTACTTTATTTATCTAATTACACTTGTATACAGGGCCGCATTTAGAATTTAGCCGCCCTATGCAAACAAAGTTTGTTGCCTCACCTCCTTTAATTAACTATATAAGTCTATTTTCTTTAGGACATAATCTGAGGTATGATTTTATTCTCATTAGGACTGAGATTGATCTTATTGTTGAACAGTTGCTAATTGGTGTACACGGCAACATTCTCTTAGAAATTATAATTTAAGGCTAAAGTTCAACATTATTATTAATCACACCCATTGCACCCCCCTAAATGCGGTCCTGCTTGTATATAATATAAAAATAGACAAATAATTAAAAACTGTTCAATTTATACTTAATTCCCATTATAACCAAGTAGTTTATTTTATTAAAAATTTAATCATAAAGAAATATAATATTTCATATTTATAGGAATTTAAAAAAATGTATTAATTTTTTTTTTTTTCATATTTATTATTATTTATTAACTATCATTTTGTTATGAAACATTTACTACTAATATTATTAAGTAGATATTACTCTTATAATATAATCTAAATTTTCTGTTATTTTAACTTATTAATGATTTGTAGGCAATGGATTTAAATGCTCTAAAAAATAAGAAAAATGTCAAAAAAATATACTATTTAATGCACTCGTAATAAATTTTTTTTTAAATGCTCTTAAAATTATTTTTAATTAGTTTTTTAATTAATTTAAACGGTGCAATACGAAATAAGGATTTAGATAAATAGCTTATCTCATCTTTATCTAATTGCATGTATATACGTGTTTAATATATACTTAAGTGTTTATACGGCGTCATATTTATATGATCGGAAAAACATAATGAACAATAAAAATAGTACGACATATATTGGGGAGAGGTAACTCGAAATTACAAAAAGTCTAAATTTTTAGAAAATTAAAATCTAGTGGGCCGCCAGAATATTGAAATCGAAAAACAAAAAAGAGAAATTCAAAATATGCATTTTAATTAGCATCTATTTTGTACATAATGTGAATTTTTAACTTAAAGTTGCATGATGTAAATTGAAAACTGTGCACAGGCAAGATAAAAAAGGCTTGTGGGCCTCATCCAAATGCCCACCCTTAATATATACAATAAATAATGATATTTAATTTTATTCTTTAAGAATGAATTTGAAATTTGAATGAATTGTTATTGAATATTATCCATTGCTATTTAAAAATGACTAGGAGCGTGAAAATATCAAAAATGCTGAACAAAAGTTACATTTTTTAATTCCTTGATGTGAAATGAGCTTTGTGCTTGGAAAACAATGTTTTTGGATATTCAGAAAAAAATGCAATCTTCATTCAAATCCATTCCCCAATGATGCATAATACTATAATTGTTCATTTATAACATCCATTAATTATTCATCATATTTGTTATTTTAGAAACATTTAATAAAAATTATTTTAATAATTTAATAAGTGTAAATATGTGAAGAGTCGTATATTAATAGTTTTTATTTATTCAATACATATATAAAAACTTATAAAGCTTAAATAAAATACAATTATTATTATTATTATTTGCTTTAAGTGTTAATCTTACATTACTTATTGTTTGAGATAATTAATGTGATAAATCATTTATGATTTAAACACTTAAATCTTCATTAAAAATTAATTTTGCCTTATATTCAAATATTTGTTTACTATTATTCCTAAACACAGATATCACGAATTAGATATATTAACCACTAATTCTTGATAATACCTATTTTAAATTGGAGCAATTGATGTTCTGGTCAATACTGTTTGCTAATTTGAATAAGTCACTGTAGAATGTAGATAGTTATTAGTTATTATTAGGGCTCAGATATAAATGCCCTTAAAAATATCAAGAAATGCATTTATGATTTAAAACTCTAAAAAATGACCTTTCAAAAATACATTATTTATTATATAAATTCAAATTATTATGTAAAAAATAATATAATATAAAAAATTTAATTACACTGTACAATAAGAGCTTAAATGATCTATGGTTGTCTGCCAACAAGTTTTTATATACCTAGTGCAGAAAATGCTTCATCTAATTTAAAACCGGATTATTTGATATTACCTGACCTAGGGATTAGAACGATGTGTAAATAAATTAGAAAATTATTTTTGGATATCGTGTTATATTCCATAAATATTTAATATACGGCTGTACCTAAACAAATAAATTACTGAAACGTAGGTATTTAGAGCAGTGAACATTTTAAAATTAATTTAATGTAATTTGCGAGTATACTGTACTTGCAGTTGTATGACAATTTGTTAAATGATTTGTTTAAAAGAAACACGGCTGATGATGTATCTAACTAATTTTTAAATATATATTTATCTTAAAATCATAAAAATTCGATGCATTTTCGATGCGAAATTCATTGTAGAGGTCTCGATAAAATCATTATTACAATGAAGAGGTACCTATTATTTTATATTTCTAATCATTATTGAAGACACACTGAAACGTACGACTGTATTCTTCTAATGAGTTTATTTATTAAAAAATCTTACAACTATTTATCCATGTATAAAATAAATGGCTGTACAATTGATTATCCAATTACGTGTTATACTATAACGTAATTACGTATAATTACGTAAAGTATAATTACGTAATTATACTTTTATATGCAACTATGTTTATTTGATAAATTTATGTTAAACTAATTTTAATATCATTCGTATATTAGCTATAGTTTTCATTATAAATGTTGTATGCCTACTGCACAGTTTAATATAATATTGAGATTTTTTTTTGTAAATGCAATTTTGCCCATCAATGAATAAATAATAGGCAAAATGTAAACTCCTACACGAATAACCTTTTTACCTGAATCATCATTAAATGTAAACTCCTACACTAATAACCTTTTAAAATTTTTACTTGAAAATCAAAGATATTGTAATTTCTTACATATAAATTTTTCCCCTTCAAAAAATAGGGTAATATTAGTTAAATTCACGATTTTGGAGTTGAAAAGCCCAAATAGCTCAAAATTATCATAACTTGAAAAAAATAAATATATATTTAACAAACAAACGCTTGAATGGAGCGTGTTTATACGCTGAATAATGATTCTCGAAGGTTAGGTTATATCCATATTATATACTATACTATACGTTCATATCGGCACTTGCAGTATAAAATGTTTTAACAGATCAGCGGTATGGTATCGAATATTGTCGAATAACGATAAAACATGATAATCTCGTCTGTATCGGAAATTTCCGAACAAATTGGCGTTTATTGCCGATATCATAGCCCGCTTGTAACTGTATGACTATGTATTGTTTGAGTTTAGTCTAGTGAATCTTTTGCGTCTTTTACCGTTTTGTGCAATAAAGTTAGTCATTCTTATAGTCGTCATTATTACAAATTGCAATGGAATTCATGTACAGTCAGAATGGTAAAAAGTTATTAATAGTTGATAAATATAAATTTTTTTTACACTATACTGCAAAAAGTGGCCAAAAAACTTGGCGTTGTATTAATAATAAGTGTCAAAGTAAAATTTACACAAATAATACAGAGGATGAAATTATTGAAAAAAAATGTAGTTTTAATTCACAATCATGACGAAGATACTACATTAAATCGCCAAGAAATCAATAATTCACTGAAAAGGAAATTAAGTGAAGACAATATTGTAGAAAAACCTTCCAAATTTATTTTAACTGAAATCAAACATTTTAATAACGAAAATAATTTAAATACGACTGATCTCAATTATTATATTAGACAAAATGTATATAATGGACGTAAATCTATTTTGCCATCTTTGCCTAAAAGTATTGAAAAAGTTCACGATACTTTAAATTTAATGGATAAAAAAACAAACCGTTTTGAACAATTTGTTTTATTAAACAATCAAAATAGCCATATTATTATATTTTCTTGTATAGAAAATTTAAAATTTCTTTGTTCTAACGAAAAAATATTTTTAGACGGTACTTTCAATTATTGTACAAAATATTTTTTGCAGTTATTCACTATTCATGGTTTTAAGAATCAAAATTATATACATTATTATATATATATTAGTCTTTACTTTGCTTCCTGACAAAAATAGCCATACATATACAGTACATTATTTTTAAAAACTATCGAAATTTGCTTAAAAAAATAATTTACGGTTTCAACCAATTACAGTTGTGATGGACTTTGAAATTGCTATTCATAATGCAATTAAAAATATTTGGCCAACAGTGCAAATTCATGGTTGTAATTTTCATTTGTGCCAAAATTGGTACAGAAAAATCCAGCAATTAAGCCTAACGAATGATTACAATAATGGTGAATCTGAAATTGGAACATTTTTAATTCTCACATTCGGTTTACCATTATTGCAAGATGCTAACGATATTGAAGATTGCTTTGTATTTGATTTGTTAGAAAATATGCCATCTGGCGATAAAGTCCAACAATATTGCGACTATTTATCTGAAAATTATATTTTTTCGTTTTCATTATTTCCTCCAAAATTGTGATTTTCTAATGACATTACTAATGCATGTGAATCATTTTATTCAAGATTTAACAACAGTTTTTATCATCATCATCCAAATCTCCATTTATTCGTGAAAGTTTTAAAAGATGTACAGACCGAAACATACATTCAAATTAGAAACAGTCATATAACACAACGCAGACAAACAAAAAAAATTTCTAAATATCAATTCATACTTAATCAAAAAACAAATATATACGAGGAGAAATTTCACGTTTAGAGTTTATCTCCAAAGTATACCATAAAAATATACGTAAATGATTATGAGTTATGACTAATGTTTTATTATATTTTCAAACAATTTTTATTTTATGTGTTAATATATTGCAAGACTGATATTTTATTACGGCAATACGAGCGGTATTAATTTTTTGTAGGAGTTAACACTATCTTTTTTAGGAATTAACACTATCTTTTTTAGGAATTAACACTATCTTTTGTAGGAGATTACACTACATTTGTAGGAGTTTACCATTCCCCAAATAATATTATACTGGCAAGCTGTGCACATTTCGGAGAGAACAGTTCTCGCAATTATTGAGAAGCCAAATATTCCCTTCCCCCTTTGGCCTTTAAGCTTTATCCGATTATTGGTATAGACATTGGACATCGAGAGCACGAAAACATCGATTGTTGCACCATGTATAAAAAAATTTCATGTAGTGATCACAACAAAATTACGTGAGTTAGAATATAGCTAGTCACTTGGTGGGAGTGGGGTAGGGTGTGACCAGTTTTCGTTCGGTGAACGCAATGTGGTTATTTTTTATTCTGAAACGAACAAAATGTTACGATCGAACAATGATTGCAGCAGACAGACTAACGATAGCTTGGCATTGTACTATTGAATCACCTGAATTCCCTGTACTCAGTAGTCGTAGTTTACTTTTTCACAATAAAAAAATTATTTTTTTAAACCATGCGGCAAGATGGAATTTATAGTTTATTCTGTTTATTTTTTTTTTATGTAAAAAAGGGTTTTAATATTATTGTTTAAAACGATAAGATAATACTACCAATTTTTATATTCTTGAAGCTTTATAATGTAGCTATATAAGATGTCATCTTTAGATCTTTATACGAAATGTGACTGTGAATTACGATAAATATTTTTCGTTAATGTTTGAATCTTATTCTTTGGGCTTCTTTTAATAAAGGTTAATATACATTGCACCAGAAATATAATGTGAATTCAAGTTTCAAACTAGAGTGAGTATTTTATCATATAACTAAACACTAAGTTTAATATTGGCGTTTTATGCGATAGATTCTTACTGGTAGGTAGTGTTGGGTAAAATTGTATCTAAATAATTATTCGAATAAATATGTATTTGAATAATTTTCAACTATAATTATTCGACTAAATTTCAAAGACAGTTATACGAATAATTTTTTGTTATTTTATTTGATTAAGCATAGTTTATAATCAAATCATTTTTTTAGATGTAGCTATTGTCGTTTATAATATATCATAGGTACTGTAACAATAGGTACTATAGTATGTTACATGACACCTATATATTAAATATAAAATCTATATTATTACGGTCAACTGTTGATCAATACAATAATATTAACACACGCGCATAATTGGAAGTAACTTTCTTCTATTGATATCTATTTGTTTATTTAAAATATTTTTACATTTTTCTGATAATAAAATAATTCTCAATCGTGTAACTTAAAATACAATGCCAACTATTTTTTATAATATCTGCCTGTTTTTAATTATCAACCCTATGTTTATCAAGATGAAATAAATGAAAATTGTTCGAATTTCTATGTTTGAAATTTAATCGAATAAATTTTTATTCGAATAATTGTAAAAAAATCATTTGAATAATAATTTATT